TTTAAAAATTTTCAGAATTTGGAGGATTTATACTTTCTCTTGAAACCAGGAAAATGATTTGAAATATAGAAAAAAAATAAATATGAAGTATAAGGCAAACCAATGACTGAGTTTGTTGAGGTCTGGAAAGCCTTGAACATCTGCTGCCACTTGTAAACTGATGCTGCATAATGGAAAAATCAGTAACTGAATAAATGATAGAATGTGAACAAGTCTAAAGACCCATGAGATTTCATTAGAAATACATCACACACACACACACAATATATACAGTGTATCTCAAAAGTCACCAAGGGATTAAAAAGTGTAATAATTTCAAACTTTTCTATACAATATATAGTATTATATAGAGTAGATATAGGAAATAAATTTACACTAGTTGTGATGACTTACCTCAAAGCTCAAAACATGTGCGAACGTGTCTCGCTTGCATGACAAATCCCAAAAGAAACATGGCTACTGTCGAAGACGCGATTTATACGTGCCGGTCTTGTCCAAAACGAGATTGTACCAGTACACATGCAAATTTCAGCAGTGTCGGACTAGCATAAATAAGGCGAGGCGCCAGCAGCACGGGAGATGGCGAGTCATTCGGCGGACTTTGTGAAACAGTCGGACGTATGAATAGACTGGCAGACCAAAAGGCGGTTGAAGTAGGTGCGTTTGATTTGGGTGTCCATTTCACGACTGCCCGGTGTAAGGAGTCTCACAATTCATTTCTTTGAGGTGACCGACGGCAAAGAATAACAGCTGGTTTGCTGGCAAACCCTCTCGTCACTTTTTTGTTTTTCTCTCTTCTTTTTACTACACTAGTTGAGAAAGATTACATCTTCAAGTGGTGCCCATTTTCAGCTTTGCACAAACATGCCCTTTCTAAAGTATTTCCATCACAGACCTTAGTGTTTCAGACTCTAATGCTTTGATGTCTGTGTGAATGTTGTTCTTCTGTTATTAGAGAATCTGAAGTTTGCTGACGGAAGCCTTTTCTTTGGGATAGCTGCATTGGAAGAACTATGGTCTTGTCAAATACAGGGAGCATGGTAACCAGTTTATGCTGCAGTTCTGAGAAATTATTCTTTCCCACATAATTTGCCTGAGGAGTTGGATTGTGGCTCATGTCATATGAGCAGGTTGTATGTTGTACAGAAACAGGTTGATACATTTAAAATTTTGTTGGAGTGATCACTGAAATATCCAAACCTGTCAAGACTGCCTTGGAGTTGATGCGCTTGGATCTTCTTCAATACTCTCCTTTATTCACTCAAATACTTCTTCGTTCCTAACGGAACATGGTATGCCTCTTCGTGGAAGATTACTTACTGAACCTTTACTCTCAAAACTTGAAGAATCTACCACACCATAATAGCAACATAATCTGCTTGTTAAATTTGAATCCTTTATCCTTGGTTTTGGTAGAAAGATTTCACTATTTGTGTTTGTTTTTCAGTCATTTATTTTTACATGTTCAGCTCTTCATGAATAATTCTGTGTACAGTTGCCACACCAACTCCCATCTTTATGCTTATTGTTTTTAGAGACACGTGACAATCTTCATCCAGAAATGCTCTGATGTTCATGTTCACATTGTCTCCCTCCCACATTGCACGTTATCTCTCACATCCTCTTCACCATCCTTGAACCTCTTGTACCAGCAGAAAATCAGATGCTCTGGTCATAAAAGTTAATCCAAAAGCAATCTGGAATATTGCATACGTTTCTGTAGCATTTTTACCCATTTTAACACAAAACTTTATTGCATATCAAGCTTCCAAATTGTCTTCATGTCCTGACTGAATTCTGCAAACTTTTCCACTGGGACAAGCAGCGTTTAGTAAGGTGTGTTCAAAGAGATTTTACCACCATTTCCTTCGTTCTGGAATAACAAAAGTTGGAAATTCTCCTTATTAGATGTATAGTAATTATATACGAAAACTATAATAATTTTGAAAAGTTATAATTGTCTCTCAAAAAAATGTCTCAAAACTTCTTGAATGCACCTCATACAATATTTATTGTAATAAGAAATATTGTCAGATTAAAAAAAATCTGTTTAAAAATTAAGTTTACATTTTGCTACCAAAACAAAACTCAGAGATATAGATTTGAAAGGTCCCAACAAGAGATGTTTTGAATTTCTTGGTTTTCCATGACCTACTCAGTAAAAGCACACTTCGTCTATGTGAGTGGTTTTCCTGATAAAAAAAGGGAATACAGATTCAATTCCTATTGGGAGACACATTTTTCTTTGATCTAGGCCAGTTGATATTAATTTCACTTTTTAAGAAAATAAAAAATACAAAGATGTCAACTCAAAAACATGTACCCACTAAAAGTAACATTTATAGTCATAAGAAATATTAGATTATTTCATTTTTTAAAGTGATTAAACTTTGGACTTGTACTGTGTGTTAAAATTATAACAGTAGAGAGCTAGGGAAGAAAGATTTATTCTTGTATTTGTATTTCCCCCATTATAGGGATTATTATATCTGTGATCACGGATGGAACAAAATGGCTGAAAAGAAAAGGAATGACAAATATGCTTTATTCTCAAAGAGACTTTTATACCACTAAGACATACATAAAACGATATATACATATATACACATGTCCCATGCAGAGAAAAATATATCACATATCTACATGGCAAAGCAGAGTGTAAAGAGAAACAAAAATGAGGGGGGTCTTACATATAATATGGAGATATTCCTGAGTTTAGAGAAGCTATGTTTAGAACTTCAGATTCAAACAGTCCAAATTCATCGATGTCCCAGATGAAGAAATGAAACCACGAGTCTTGGGTTTTCCAAAATTGAGGACTGAAAGCTGGAGTTTCTATATCTGGGAAAGATATATTTCTAAAGGGAAATAGTGCCATGTGATTGTGTAAGCTGTTGGGGGAGGCAGATTGCTAAAAGAAAGCAACATCTAGTTTTGACTGCTGTAAACAAACTGAAATTGACTGCTTCTTTCATTTTGGAGTGAGATCACTAAGTGGTCTGTCATATGACTTATCTCCACCAAAGCAAGATAATCACCTTCTGTATCCCTACAAAGTGATAAAAAAATGATTAATGTAAAATGATGAACTTAATGTTAAAAATACTGTGTTAAAATGATAAAAATGTGTAGGCTTGTATGTTAAATAAGTTTATAAATATTGTCTATCATATCACAGGTCAAGTATTTTATCCAAAAATGACATGTAAATATTACATTTGAAATAAGGTAAATTAATTCTCTCTATTAGCTTGTATACTGCATTTTGATATTATTTCTTTTTGTAATGATTGGTGATATTATGTATGAGCCTGGTCTTAAGCTAATACATAATATTGCAAGGTAAATTATAAAAATAATGAATAACCATTTCTAGAATGCATGTTTGAATGTTCTTCAATTTCTTCATATATACTAGTATTGGTTTTAACTGATTCTATTTTTTTTGCTTACAATGGAAATAATAGAATCTCTGAAATGATAAATGTTTGAATGTAATTTATATAATTTAATATAAGAATGTGCAAAAATTTTAGGACAATATACATTAGCACAAATATATTGTATTTTCTTAAATTCTCTATTTGGATTATTAATGTTATTTATGTGATTTCTTCAAAATGTTCATTTCTTGCCAAATTATTCTTCCTTTGACAGAATTCTAAATTCTTTGGCTGTAATTTGTGACAATCTGAAGGACTTGTTCCTTGGTATGTTTATCCAGAAAAAAGTGGCTCAGCAAGAAATTCATGAAGTTCTTCATAACTGCACTCAACGCATCTACAAAGAACTGGCTGATTACAAAGATTACCTAATTGTCAAAGCTCAGCGGAACATCACCATTACATCGTATCCTTTCCTACTACAAGCAGAAAAATCATCATCTAACAATCATCTTTTTGATTACTTTTTAAATTTTGTTCATCAATACTGGAAAAGGCAAAACTGGTTAATGGAAAGAAACCTATTCTCTTGAAAAATTATTTTAATAGGTAAATTTTATAAATTTCAACCAACAATAGTATTGGCTGTTAGGCCAATGAATGATAAATTTTTCCACATTAAGAAATGGTTAATATTACCACCATTTGTCCTATTTTGGGGGTTTGTGAATCTGATGTTATGTAAGTTTTCAGTAAACAAGAAGGTCCTTTATTTAGATATGATTAACCAGCAAATAGAGAAATAAAATCTTAACTCAAAAAAGTAGGGTGTGTTATAAATACCTACACACATATAATGAGGTGGTAAAAAGTATTCCCTTTTCAAAATCAGGCAAAATGAATGATCATTTAATTTTATGTATTTTTTGTCTTGGTTGGGGATAGGGGGGGCTTCTTGGTTAGTCAGAAATCTTTTCAGTCCCCACTCTTGTGTGTGCGCATATATATATATATATATATATATATATATATATATAATAGGCATAGACAGGTTCACCTATTGTCTGGTTCACAATCTTCCCTGGCCTTTTGAACAGGAGTAGAAGTTTATCTCTTGTTTCCTGTTTAGGATTGTGTTTCCAGCTCCTCCTAAAATTCTTCTTTCTTTTTCACTTCCAGTAGCCCCTTGCATCTTAGTGGAATTATCACTTTGCTTGGGGTGAAATGATTAAAATATATAGATTTCATCAACAGGATGCTAGCTGAGCATGCTGAAATAAAAGCAGAAATTAGCAATGAAACCTTACCACTATAGGGTTTGCAATATATTTTGTTTCATGTAAATGTAGTGATATTAACAAAACTAATTTTCAATAGGGAGTTTCTTTCCACCCACTCTGTATATTGTACATATATCAATAAGCTGGTCGGTCAATGATGAAAAAGCATTTATTTTACATAAAAAATATTTTTTCAATATTATTTATCACTGCACTTCTTTTTTACATACTAGAATTTATCCAATACAAGGCTTGAAAGCCACTCAAAGTAGAGGGTTACTGTTAAAATGGTAATTATGAATGAGGTATATGATATGAATGAAAGAGGAGGTGGTAGGAAGTGAAGATAATGAGGATAGATAACAATCAACCCTGGACTTAATATTAATCGCATAGAGTGAACATTATACAGTGATAAGTTCAGGTGTCCAAGGGTGGATCAGTAAGTTTGTAGCCTGATGTCATAATGAGGAGGTGGTGAAAAGTTTTTAGCTTGGCCCACTTAATCAAAATCATACCAAATGATCAAACATCGGAATTTTGGAAGAGAGGGATTCTTGGTTGGGCTGATAACCTTTCAGTACACCATCATATTAAAAGAATATTATCTTTCAGAAAAAGCCACTTTCATCAGCAGTAAGCACATAATCAAGAAAAGGATCAATGTTTAAAGAAACAAGCAAATTGCACAAAGTGTCAAAACCTTCATGTTTCAGATCCTCAGTGAAATCATGACAAATTCATATCTGGATGTTTTCATTATGCTGATTTGTATTAAATGTTTTCCAACTGTGGTATAGATAAGCTCTAGATTTGTCCCCATTTCCCAATTGTTTGTCTCTGGATGAAGCATGACATAAAAATCAAATTTATTCACATTTGCTTTGATATTCAACAAAAAAAAAATTAAAAGTAATTAAAAAAAATTCATACAACATCCAAAAGAGGATATGCAGAGTTGTAAAATGTATCATTGCAGGAAAAAAGAGAAAGGATCAATCTATAAAGGGAAAGGATTTATGTGGAGTTGTAAATTGGATCAATGCATTAGGGGAAAGGATTAATGTAGAGTTTCAAAATGCATCATTGCAGGAATAAAGAAAGGATCAGTGCATTAGGGGGAAGGATTAATGTGTAACCTTTTCCCCCCTACATTGGTCTTCAGGTTCCCTTCAGACCACCATAATTACCATTTTATATAGTGTCCTGGTTCTGGCAGATGTGGGGTTGACTAGAGTCTGGGGTTCAGTTGTCTTCCATTCTTTGCCTCAACCTTTTTCTATTATCTTATATTTTAAAAATATGTTTACTCAAGTAATTTTCCAAAGTTAGTGGTTGTCCAGCCTGCTTTTGAGAGTGTGCACCTTAACTCCAACCCACTTCGCGTCTCTTTTGCACCATTGCTCCATATTGGTGGTGCTAATCTCTCTCTCCCTTCTCCCATTTTCTTAGCATCCAACCTCAACCCACTCCAAGGGCTGGTACATTGTCTTTTTGATAAATTTAAACTTTTAGAATGCATAAGCAAAAAGGGGATTTCCAGTCATTAATCCTTTTTTATCAGCTTGTCTCACACTGGTTCTTTTAAGTGATTTCTCAATTGACCAGACTACACAGCTGGTCACCTATGGTCACTCCAGTGCTAATAATTAATTTTTCTTTATCACTTGTATCCAAAAGAATCTAAAATGTCAACCATAAAAATTTTGACGAATGTTACAGAAATTAAAATAAACAAACCTGTCCCCAGTCTCGGGTGCTAATCTCTATTTTTGTAGGGATATTTTCCATCTGGCTGGTTGATTCAGACCAGATATTTTTCCTGGCTCTTTGTCCAGAACAATTTTTGATGTTATTTCAGTGACCACCCATTTTCTTTATCAACAGCATGTTTTTCTATTTTTCAGGATTGACATTTTCGATGATACATTGTCTCTTTCTTATTGGTGGGAAGTGGAGAAGGACAGATAGTCTTGGATTTGCTCAATCTTACTGAATTCTGTCTATAGTTAAATTTAGGTTCGATTTTCCTTGAAACTGTTTCAGATTTCATTTTATTATTTTGAAGCATAATTTTTCAACAACTTTCATTTTTGATATTTTTCTCAACTTTTCAATCCACTTTTCTGCAAATTTCAACAATTATCATCCAATTAGTAGTCTCTTTCCTTTTTGTTTTTTTTTTATTAACTCCCTGAGGTTTCAGTTTCACAAATTTAGAGTTGTAAAATGTATCATTGCAGGAAAAAAGAAATGGATCAATGCATAAAGAGAAAGGATTAATGTAGAGTTGTAAAATGTACCAATGTTATAACCTTGGTCAATGCTGGCGCTAGCCATTAGAGTTGGTTTCGTCGATCTGTGCCTTGGCCTGCCCACATTGTGTTGATGAATCCAGAGAGCTGGCAAAGATCAAATTGTCATCTGCAATTGTAGTGTTGGTTCGATTCTGGCAAAGCTATGTCACAAAGGAAAGAAAATAAAAAAAATGTTCTTGTAGACGAAATAAATAAAACAGGAATTTCTTCAGGGTCTATTTCTATGTGGTTTATATTGTTCATTCTACAGAAATATTAACCCTTCTCACTTTGGATTCTATTGTGACACTTTGCTCAGTTTAGCTAAGTCTGGAACAAGGCCTAAGTCAGAGGTTCTCTCTGGTAGAAAGTCACATGGGATTTGGCAGAGTGGTCATCTCTCACCTAGTCTTGGTCGCTTCAATGTTCTGCTTCCACCCAAAACTGGCATGGGGGTTGACATGGTTAGGTGTTTTCCCTATCTTCCAACAAGAGTCTCTTTGTTGTCTAGCTCTGGATAATTAATTATATCTCCAAATTTGGAGTGATCCCTTTTCTGATGGGTAGAGGTCACAGGATATCAATCCACCCAACACTTCCCAATGGGCATAGGCAATTCCTCTGTCCTTGTTGGTGTTTCACCTGCACCTGTCCGCTTGGTTGTCCTTTGACCAATCTTGTTCTCAACCATGTGGCATGGCTTAGTCCATGGTCATTAATTAAAATTATCATTTTAATTTCTTATCAGCAAAATTTCTCAGTCTGAAATTGCTTGTAAAATCAGAATTTACCAGCTGCTTCCCCCTCCCTGGTCAGTCACCCCCACCATCCCCCAGGGTCATTCCACTCCTGGCACCCTGGGTTTGGGTCTTTACATAAAGAAATTCTACATTCTTGACTTGTTTACAGTTTCCATTTTTTTGATAGGTAAATAAATCAGTTTCCCAATCCAGCCCTGTCCTTAAAAATTGCCAAATTTCTATTGCTCAGTTTATGTTTTCATAACTGACACTCTTTAGACAGTGTCATCAATCAGCTGTCAACTAAGTATTGACACATGGCCTCTTTGCTAATATCCGATAAACAGAAACACTTTTCTTTGAGTTATCTCTGTCCTAAAAAAGAAATAAACTTTTGAAACTAACAAAATCTTGCTTTCTCACAGCCTGTCCATCGGCCTATTCTTTAACCTTTTTCATCTTGCTCCAAGCTTATATTTTTAATTTTAACCCCCTTTTTTTCTGTTTGCCAGTGTCAAAATGCATCTCTCCCACAAACATATACACACACATTATATATGGTGATAGTCAACTCATTATTGAGCAGAATCATTTTTACTTATTTTTTATTTTGTGCCAAGTAATGTTGCCTGAGATGTAATGAATCCCTGTATGACTGGCATCTCTACAAAGATGATTTTTATTATTTTAATGACATAAGTATGTATAATTATTATTGTTGTTATTTCAATATTAATTATTTTTCTTGTGACAGAACCTTTTTTCACTTGACTTGAATTTTGTCAGATATTTTCAGCAGTTTCCTGGAATTGTATATTTTATTTTTGTGGATCGTACAACTAACCAAGTAATTGTTCCTGCTCTCAATGTAAGCCCAGATGACAGTGAAGAAGCCATGAAAGCCACTCTGTTTCTCAAACGTAAAGTGAGTGCTTTGTAATTTGTTTCTAAAATTTTCATGGAATATATTAATATCTACTATCAAAACAAAGCCTGAAATTGCATATTTGTTCTCTTAATAATTTGCCTCTATAGTGCAGATATTACCATATTTGATGGTATATAAAAATCTTGCATTTCCTGCAGGGAATGTTAAGAAAATAATTGCTGGGTGGAACATTGAACTTCATCCATGTTCCCCATTTGGTCCAATTCAAAATTTCTTTTCATGATTTATTACAAATTTATGAAATTCTAATATTATAGAAGAATGTGTATCTTATGTCATCAAATATGATATACAAAGGGTGACTCAAGATCTCTAATATGAAGCAGATATACCTTTTGAAGCAGATATACCATAAGGATTGTTAAGATAAAATGGTGTTGTGCCAATATTCAAAAAAATATAATTCAGGATCTTTATTTTGCCTCCTAAAGCAAAATGTGACTGACAAATGATGAAGCTATCTTATTTATGTCATTTACAGAAAGCTATTTCAATTGACATTAATTGATGAACCAGGAAATAAGATGAGCTAAACAAGTTGGCTTTCTTAAAATAGCTTAAAAAGAAGAGTCAAAGCATGCGTCCATTTATAAATTGAAAAGCAAAGCATGCCTAATTGTATACAAATTTCTAAGCTGGAGCATTGACAAAATGAATCTAGGAATTACTATAATTTCTTAATTTGTATTTCTTTATTTAAATTATTTACACTCATCTTTGTTGGTATTATCACCACGTTTTGGCATGTTGATCCAGGTAACCTACAGGGTATTTCAAACTGAACCCTTTATTTAATCTATGGGTGTAGACTATTCTCCATTTCCCTGTCCTTGTCTAGGGATATTTTGTCTTCTATTTATTTAGTATTACTTGGTTATTATTTGTCAAAGTTTCTACTTCTCAGCCCAGAGACTGAATTCACAATTACTATGTCACTAAATTCACAAACCACCACTTTAATCCACTAGACTATTGTCCCATGAGGCAACACTTTAATCCAGTAGACTAATCCCAAAGTCTAGATGAATGTTAGGGTTTTTCTTTACAAGGCTGAGAGCTTTTCAGTATCTCCTTTGTGTATGTGTGATAATGTATGTCACAAGAAAAACCCGGCTGTCATTAGAATACACATGAAATCAAGTGGGCCCTAAATGATTTTATCTGAGTCTGAATGGTATTGTGCTTTCATTATCAGCAATAAAATCAACAAAGATCTTCAAAGCGGCCACCCACTTCACCAAAACTGAATAATATAATAAATACATGAAAGCATTTGGGAACAAGTGACATTTGGTTGGAAGATAGTTTTATTCACAGGCCTATATAAACAATCACAGAATTGAGGTTAGTTCTGATTCAGCCTGTTGGCAGAGTACAGGTTGCTTGTCAGAGAGCTCAGGTGCCATCCATTAGAGAGTAGTTTCAAGCCACCTGAAAGTGAGTTATGACAGATGGGCAGAAGGCTGGTACGAAAGAAAGATCTCTCACTAGTTTAAGAGAAAAGCTGATCTGTGAGATTGTCATGACAAACGTAAAACTTGTCCCAAGTATCACCTACCTACACTGCAGACTCTGCAAGTGAATTCCTGAATAAACAACCAGATATTCTGGAAACCAGATTTACATCTTCATTTTTTCATGTGATATTAATTATCTACTTGTGTTACTTTATAAATGTGCAATGGACCTTTCCCAGTTTTTGTGCACATTTGAGCAAATGAAAATTGAGATATAATGTTGGTGATTTGTCCAGTCGGTGAAAAGCTGAGAGAAGGACCTCTTTTACATATATGTGCTAATTAAGGCTCAATTCCCGTGGGTGGAGAATGCTCTTGTTATAATAGACAGTTGTGCATTTGAATGGGAATTTTTATATCAGTGGCTTAATCTCTAGTGAGTGCAAATTATTGGAAATTCCAAGGAAAATGAAGAACGGTCTCTATTGGAGACGTTCACCTCTGAACGGTCTCGATTACAACAGGATCATTCTCTGTTAGATTTAAAATGTTCAAGACCTTGAGAAATGAGAACATTAATTTTTTTACAATTCTTTTTATCTTGTGATTTAAATTTTATCTAAATTTTTAAAACTAGGTGATCTTATAATCATATTAATTCATTTAGACCTTTTCTCTTTGTCTTTGTCCCAACACTTTGCTGTACCTTCTAGGCTTCCTTGAATATTTGTCAAATTCATTCATTTTTCAGGAATGTCAAAAATAATTCATTGATCCACTCAGTTATACTGTTCTCAACTCTCTACTGTTGAACATCTTGATAAACGTGAGAAGGTACCTCAGCTAAAATATGATAAAAATAATTCTGATTTAGTATTTCTTTTTGTAGATTTGGAGAACTGCACGTCTTATGCAGCAAAAATTATCCCAAGGCTACACGACTGTATTGTTGAGGGATGGTGACTTTTTCATTTCTTATTACCTTTGGTTTGAAGATAATGCTGTAAGTATTTCTGTTTCTGTTCTCTTTTGCCTGCTAAAAATTTTAACTTCCTTTTCTTTTGTTGAAAATTTCTTTTCAACACATCATATTCTGTCGACGAATTGAAAAAAAATCACACTATTCTGCTTGTTTGTATGTCTGACCGTTTTCTGTCTTGAATCAGCATGTAGTATCTGTGCTTAATTCCCAACCCTTCTGATCCAGAATGAGTTATCCTTTCTGACTAAGAAACCTATATAATATTAATCAGAAAAGAATTAGAAAAAGCAGGGAAAAGAAAGAATAGCTGGAAGATAAAAATATAAAATATATATTTATTAAGCAATCAGTCAATTTTTAATTTGACAACAGTTTTAAAAAATACATTAATTTCTTAAATTACTTTGTTTACATTTTGGGTACCAAAATATAAGCTAACAGATATAGATATAAAATAACCTCAATGAGAGATGTGCATTTCTTGAAAAGGTTAATTGAATCTTGCTTTGCTGTAATGACATCTGTAGCCTAATGGTAAGACACATCTGGCTAAAAAGTGGTTTTCCAGAAAAATAAAAAGGGAATGCAAGCTCAATCCCTGCTGAGAGGTACATTTTCTTTAATAAGACTTCTGATGATCTAGGTTGGTAGACATTAAGTTCACTGTTTGTAAATAAACAACGATGTCTGCTCAAAAACATGTACCAACTAAAATAAAACTAAATAAAGTAATAAGAAATATATAAGGAAAGAAGAAAATGAAAGAAAGACCTTGACAAATTTACTGGTTGGATTCCAACAAACAATGATTGAAACGCTGAAAGATGTTAAAAAAAAATGTGATACATACAATTCTTTAGAGATATAGAGCAAAAGGAAAAAAAGATGCAGTAAGAATATTTGTGCGTTCCAGATTCCTTTTCTTTTTTCCACATCCAAAACTAATCTACATATATATGTATAATATTTACATAAAAACATGGATGCACAACAGAAGGGAATGGATAAGGGAGTGAATTAGAAGATACAAGTAAGAATGAGAAGAGAGCAAAATCTTGATAATGAATAATCCTTGTTGTCAACATCTATGCAAATTACATGGATTCAGCATAATTATACATTTGGTTGGATTTATCTTAAGTAACGCATGCTTCATGACTATAGTAATTACATATTCTGGTACCTTTGGTTAGTGTTCAAGTCCAAATAAAAACGAGGATTTATAATGTTGATTTTCAAGGAATAAAAACCTCTCCAATTGGAAGAAGGGAAATACAAAAACTTTGTGCTTCCCAAAGTTGGCACTACAGAAGCAACGACAAGGACAACAGTTGCAGCAACACAAATTACAACAAGAACAACAATTGCAGCAACAAAAACTACAAACTGAACAGCAATTACAACTACAACAGCAAAAGCTTTTTGAATTGTTTACCAAAACCATGGAAGGAAAATCTTCAGATTCATTCACTCCAGATGCTGTTGCTAATTCAATCAGTGAATTTGTGTACAGTCCAGATGAAGGGATAACTTTTCCAGCTTATTATAGAAGAGATTGTTTGCATTGGAATGATGAAAAAAAAGTTTGGTTATTATTAAGGAAATTGTCCTCAGCAGAACATGAAAAATATGTGAGTTATATTTTGCTGAAAAAAACCAGGTGATATAAATTTTGATGAAACTGTTCTTATACTATCAACAATTTTTGGTGATAGGAGCTCATTATTTAATACATGATGACAATGTCTTAACTTAGTAAAGTCTGAGGATGAAAATTTTGTCACTTATGCAGGATTCATGAATTGAGAATGTGAAAAGTTGAAGTTAAATGAATTAACTCCTGATTTATTTAAATGCCTGATATTCGTACAGGGTTTAACTTCTAATAAGGACATGGAGATAAGATCCAGGATACTTGCTAAATTAAAAATGGATTCCAAATTAACTCTCCAGAAAATAATGGAAGAATGTCAACATTTTGTCAATTTGAAACTCAATACTGCAAGGATTGAGGAAAAAGACAAATCACGGGTATATAGTGTCCGACATCTAGGAGAAAAAACTACAAACGTTTTTTAAATCCTAACAGAACAGGAAAAAAAGACTATAAACTCCACTCAATACCTAATACTTGTCATAGTTGTGGAGGTAAGCATTTTAAAAGTGATTGTTTTTTCAAGAATAAAAAATGTTATGAATGTGAGAGATTAGGACACAAAAGTACGTGTTGGAGATACAAGAAATGGAGAAAAAGTAAAACGTATATGAACATGATAAATACATGGAGGAATGAGAAGAAGCCTAAAAGGGAAATTAACAAGACATCTCAAAAAAGGAAATTTGTTTTTGTACAAATTAATGATGTAAAAATAAAATTGCAACTAGATACAGGATCTGATATCACTATCATAAATGAACAAACATGGAGTCTCAAGAAAGAGATTGAACTTTTTTGGTGAATTCAGCTGTAATGTTTCTTTTGTGGGGAAAAACCAAAAAAGCTGTAATGTTTGTATTAAAGAATACTGCTAATTTGTTTGGAACAGACTGGATTGCATTGTTTGATCTTTGGGACACTCCAATTAACTCATTTTGCAACAAATTAAGATCACTCTTGAATAACCTGCTGAAGAAAGATGTGAAATGGAATTGAACAGATAAATGTCAAAGTGCTTTTGAAGAGAACAAGAAAGTCTTAACATCAGATTTGTCACTAGATCATTTTGACCCTAAATTAAAGATTGTGATTGCATCAGATGCAAAGGATTTGGGCATTGGAGCAGTGATACTACACAAATATGAGAATGGAACAACTAAACCAATAGCACATGCTTCAAGATCATTGAATGCAGCTGGAAAAAGCTACAGCCAGATTGAAAAGGAAGCATTGGCCATCATATTTGCCATGAAAAAGTTTCACAAATTCATACATGGTAGAAAATTCATACTACAGACTATTGTCCATTATTGTCTATATATGGATCAAAAAAGGGTGTTCCCATGCATACAGCAAATAGACTGCAGCACTGGGGAACTATCCTATTGAACTATAATTATAAAATGGAGTTTCTACCATCCAAAAAATTGTCATGCAGATGGATTATCTAGACTAATACCAAGATTCTGTGAACCACTTGAAGACACAGTAACTGTGGCGATAAGGGCTGAAAATGAAATTAATAATGTATTATACAATATTGTAAGAGAACTGCCTATAACATTGGGGGAAATAAGAATTAAGTCAGAAAAATATGACTTTATAATGAAAATGAGGCAATTAAGATTTAAAGGAAAAAATATTGGAAATAATGCATTTTCATTATGTAATAATGTACTTATGTACACAGAAAGAATTGTGATACCAGCATCATATGCAAAGACGTATGCTAAAGGAATTTCATGTAGGACATCCAGGAATTTCTAGAATTAAATCCTTAATGAGGTGTTATACTTATTGGCCAAAAATGGATCAAGATATTGAAAATTTAGTGAAATTATGCAGAGGTTGTGCTCTGGCAGCGAAGTCACCACCTATCAAAATTCAACCGTTGCTGAAAACCAATATGTCATGGTCCAGAATACATATAGATTTTGGAGGTCTGTTAATCTATCTAGTGGTAGTTGATAGTGTAACTATCTACCACTAGATAGATAAATGGCCAGAAATATTGAAATGTAGAAGACCTACTACTACAGTAACAATAAATTTCCAACATAAGACTTTTGTAAGGTTCAGTGTTCCTAACTCTATCATTTCAGATAATGGGACTCAATTCATGTCTAGTGAATTTAAGGTTTTTTGCAAATCATTAGCAATAGAACATATTACAATTCCCCCTTATCATCAAAGATCAAACGGACAAGTAGAACGGTTTGTTGATACATTTAAAAGGGCACTACAAAAGTCAGAGGGTGAAGAGTTAGATGAAGTAATGCTGCAAAAATTTCTAAGTGTTTTTAGAATAACACCAAACCCAAACACCGTGTCTGGAATGTCACCTGCAGAGTTGATATTCACCAGGAAGATTAAGTCTGTTTTTAATAAATTATTACCAGAACAGAAGACGAGAACATCAGGGAATCAAAATAATATAAATAATATAAATAAACATTTTAAACCTGGTGATAAAGTGTTTTTTAAAATGTACCAACATGGAAAAGAATTCTGGGAAGATGGCGTTATAAAAAAAAAACGGATCAGCAAAATAACATATATGGCACAGGGACAAAGGTGGGAACATAAGTGACACCTTAATCAGTTAAAACAGAGATTCACTGATTTAGTAAGTCCACAAAAAGAGGTACGAATAGAAATATTGTATGATATGTTTGACATATGCATGTCACCAGAGATTAGTGAGCCAAGGAAGTACAGTAAAAGAAAAAATAACAGCAATAAAACATTTGAATATTGAAATGAAGCTTAAGAAATATAGACTCTAGAGGAAATCATCTCAAAGGGGAGGTGTTATATAGGAATAAAGTGTCACTGCTGACACTTGAGTTTGAACATAGATTGCCAGTGAGCAAACACAGGTGATCCCATTGATTAAGTAGACCACGTGACCATAGAGGAAATGCATAAGTAGGAAGTTGATGTCCAATTGATCGCTATTTCTACTCTATCCTCTATTACTATTCGGATCACTATTTCTACTCTATCACTATACAGACCACTATTCTCTACTCTATTCACTATACTATTTCTCTATTCAGATCATTATGCAGGTTACTTGTCATGCGAGTATTATCGAGCAAGTACTATTAATGCGAGTGCTATTCAATGGCATTTGATTTGTTCAACAGTGTTATTATAATTGTAATCTGCGAGTATAAAGTCTCTACTACAATGAGCATTATGAAAGTGACAATGAGTATTCGTTAGCATTACAAAAGTGGCAATGAGTGTTCATTAACATCACAAAAATTTATCACAGGAGATATGATGGGATGCAAAGTTATTGACCCAGCCCATTTTCCACAATCTGACCAAAGATCATTTTTTATGCTTCTTGACTGGTCTGAGAACTTTTCAACACTTTTGCATGTTTACTTTGATAAAGTTCTTAAAACTATAATATAAAAAAGATTTTCAAGAAGAGCTGTAAGTTCAAATCATATGTGAAGCTTATTTTTTTATTTTCACTCCTTTTTGCTCCTTACTTAATATAGATTTGAACTGACATTTTTAAGAGCCAGACTGAGGCAGCATCTTACTGATTACCCTATGAAAGTTCAATAAATAGACGTCATTCAAATTAGTTATATGCCTGTATTTTCTGTCTTCAATCTTCTACTACACAATATTGTTTGTTTATTCTTGTTGTAGTTTTAAGGTATTTGAATTTGTTAGATGAAGTATTGTAATTAGTTTTTATTTCAACTGTTTGTTGCTATGGTTGTAAAATAAATGTAAAAACTTTTGCATATATAAATATTTCCATGGTAATTGTTCTAATGAGATTTCCTCTTTGGTACTCCAACTTTACAAGTTTAAATGCAGTACTAGATTGGCAGATAGGTTTCATCATTTTTACAGTTGAAAATGCTAAATGTAACCACAATTTCTATGCTAACAGTTTCTTCTCTTGTACTTCTTGCTTATAAAACTGTCTTCCAACTTCTTGCTTTCCAATCAAGTTTGATCTTCAAAATTTTGAATGCAATGTCAATTGTCATGTTTTGTTTCTTTAATTCTTGTTGTTATTGTCCTCTTTCCATAATAATGTTTTTTTTTCTCAAATTCTTTCACACTCTTGCATCTGGTGGCTTTATCGTTTTGCTTGGGGTGAAAAAATTTTAAAAAAATCAGTACAAAGCAAAAATATGAAAGAAACAACATTAATGATTACAATGCTTCTAAAAAAAAAAACATTAAAGCTTTCTTTACGAGCTGTCTCTTTTCAGGACATAAGTGTTCGCCAATTCTTTTCATTTAAGACCTTCACCTTTTCCAACAAGATCAACATCAGTGAACAATGGGCAATTATAAATTCTTCTGTGAGGCAAGCAAAAGTGAAGTCTCTCCAGTTAATATTTTGCATAGGTTTTCCAGCTTTAATGTTGAAATATTACATTAAATGTATGAAAGAGTTTTACTCATGCTTTCACTATTTATTATATTACTATAACAATTAGAATGAATTAATGTTTTGATAATATTTAGTAAATCCTGCTCATGATATTATCATGGGTCACATCAACAACAAATATTTTATTGACTATAAATTTAAGATATTACATTCAACAGAGATGCTCAAATCTCTTTGTATGGCAAAAATACAAAAAGATTCAAATGTCGGATAAGCTTGTATTTTAATAATATAGAAAAGTATTTAATTATAAATAGTGACATATATTTACAAATTTAAATAGGCTTTATTATTATTATTTCTTTCATTTTATTCTATTGCTTTTAGTTACAATTCTTCATTTTTTAAATTTATTCTATAAACATTAAGCAAGTAAAATGGATAAGAAAATAAACTTTTGATAAGATTTGAATTCATATTCCTTGGGTGCTTATGTTCATTCTGACAATGCATTATTAGTTAGTCTATGAAAAGCTAACCAGCATGTATTATTCAAATTTGCCATATTTTTTCCTCTATCTTCACTCTGTTGCTTGTTTATATACAACAGTAGTATCAGATGCATAAGTTATGTGAATAACCGTTCAAAATAACATTTGCTAAGTGTTTATTCATTTTGAATGTAAAAACCAAGATTCTGCACCAATCCCTACATCCTCATTCCTACAAGAATCTCTTTAGTCTTGTAATCCTTGGCTAAAGTTTGTTTAGCAAGAAAGAATTTGTACATGAACTTTGACCTTGATTTATGTTTTTTTTGTTTTGTTTTTACTAGCACAATCCTCTTGTGGTTCAACAGCCTTACAAAACTCTCACTAATTCTCCCCCACCTGGAATTCTTTGTGGCAATCTTTACAGGTAAGTAAATTTATATGCCATTCAGTTGTTGTTGTTGTGTATATATATATATATATATATATATATATATATATATATATATAAAAGGTTCTAATTGATCCAATGAGAGAAAAATGTATATTTTAAAAAAAAAAAAAAAAGAAAGAAAATGGCAAACGAATCCACATTATAACCAAAAACATTTACCGTTTCTCTCTCTCTCTCTCTCTCTCTCTCTCTCTATATATATATATATATATATATATATATATATATGGAAATTTCTCCGATTTAATCGGTAGAGAAGACAATATTTATGAATAAAAATGACAATAGGAAAACTGGTAATTGCTGACGCGTTTAGTCAATGTGGACTTTATCAAAGCAAAATACGAAAATGAAATTAAATGAACAACGTAACTAATAAAAACAAAACAGAATGTACCTAGCAACTGGAATGTAGAGAAACGCTATTTTCATATTTTTAAATGAAAAATAACGTCAGAGATTGTCACGTGTGGAGAATATTGTCATTATATCTGTGTTGATGTATTCAACCATTTTCTTTCAATTTTATGAATCTGTTGTGCATATTTGTTTGTAAGAGCATTAATTTTGTTAAGAAAGGTGAAATAGGGAAAAAGCCTGGGCGTAAATTAATATTTGGATAATTTTCTGTGGCGGCACTCTCAGTATTTTCCTTCTGAGTGAGTTATTTTCTTTTTTATGAGTGTAGCATTTTTAAAATCAAAATTATGGTTGTATTTATTTCTATGTATGACTATTGCATTAGCTAAGTTGTTTTTTGTGAGGTCTCTTTTGTGCTCATAAATGCGTTTTTTCAAACTTCTACTTGTTTCTCAATATATTGGGAGGAGCAGTTTTGGCAATTTATTTTATAAATGCCTGCTTCAAAATATTAGTGCTATTATTGTTTGAAGATCTTAGTATATCTATAATGGTTTTGGAGGTGTTTGTGACTATTTCAAGATTATTTAGATGGGATAGGTTATTCTGGATCGTGGACGTGGCAGAATTGGTCGGTAGTATTATGTATCTGTTTTCATGTGATTTACTATTATGGATTGTGTTATTAGTTTTGTTTCGTTTGTATATTTTGTATGCCTTTCTTCTTGCATTGTGGATGAAATGATATGGGTATTGTAGGTTTTTGAATGTGTTTTTCTATGTATGTTTCTTCTTTAAATAAATATTGAGGACTACAGATTCTTAATGCTCTTAGATAGAAACCTATAATAATTCCAGATTTAATTTTTGAAGGGTGGTTTGAGTAGAAGCTGATGAGATCATTTTTGTTTGTAGCCTTTCTGTAAACGTCAAAATTGAGTTCGTTGTTATTTCTAATTAACAAAATGTCCAGGAACGGAAGAGTGTAGTTGGTTTCAGTTTCGAGAGTGAAGTTTATTGTAGGTTCAATGTTGTTAAGTTTGGAGAGAAGATCCGTTAAATTGGTGTTTTTTGGAATTATTAATAACGAGTCGTCTATGTATCTGAAATATGAAGAGTTTGTAGGGAGAATATTTTTGAATGAGTCACTTTCTAGAAATTCTAAAAATAGACATGCAAGAACGCCGCTGAGAGGAGATCCCATTGGCAAACTAAATACATAGACATTGAAAACAAATATATGACTAGTTTAGATATACAATCTCTTTATACAAACGTCCCCATAGACAAATGCTTAAATTTACTTAAAAAACACCTAACAAATGCAAAAATCCAATTACCTATATCTACACACAAAATTATAAAACTGTGCCAACTAATTACCAAGCTATGCTTCTTTACTTTTAATAACCAACATTACAGACAGAAATTTGGTTTGCCAATGGGATCTCCTCTCAGCGGCGTTCTTGCATGTCTATTTTAGAATTTCTAGAAAGTGACTCATTCAAAAATATTCTCCCTACAAACTCTTCATATTTCAGATACATAGACGACTCGTTATTAATAATTCCAAAAACACCAATTTAACGGATCTTCTCTCCAAACTTAACAACATTGAACCTACAATAAACTTCACTCTCGAAAACTGAAACCAACTACACTCTTCCGTTCCTGGACATTTTGTTAATTAGAAATAACAACGAACTCAATTTTGACGTTTACAGAAAGGCTACAAACAAAAATGATCTCATCAGCTTCTACTCAAACCACCCTTCAAAAATTAAATCTGGAATTATTATAGGTTTCTATCTAAGAGCATTAAGAATCTGTAGTCCTCAATATTTATTTAAAGAAGAAACATACATAGAAAAAACACATTCAAAAACCTACAATACCCATATCATTTCATCCACAATGCAAGAAGAAAGGCATACAAAATATACAAACGAAACAAAACTAATAACACAATCCGCAATAGTAAATCACATGAAAACAGATACATAATACTACCGACCAATTCTGCCACGTCCACGATCCAGAATAACCTATCCCATCTAAATAATCTTGAAATAGTCACAAACACCTCCAAAACCATTATAGATATACTAAGATCTTCAAACAATAATAGCACTAATATTTCTGAAGCAGGCATTTATAAAATAAATTGCCAAAACTGCTCCTCCCAATATATTGGAGAAACAAGTAGAAGTTTGAAAAAACGCATTTATGAGCACAAAAAAGAGACCTCACAAAAACAACTTAGCTAATGCAATAGTCATACATAGAAATAAATACAACCATAATTTTGATTTTAAAAATGCTACACTCATAAAAAAAGAAAATAACTCACTCAGAAGGAAAATACTGGAGAGTGCCGCCATAGAAAATTATCCAAATATTAATTTACGCCCAGGCTTTTTCCCTATTTCACCTTTCTTAACAAAATTAATGCTCTTACAAACAAATATGCACAACAGATTCATAAAATCGAAAGAAAATGGTTGAATACATCAACACAGATATAATGACAATATTCTCCACACGTGACAATCTCTGACGTTATTTTTCATTTAAAAAATATGAAAATAGCGTTTCTCTACATTCCAGTTGCTAGGTACATTCTGTTTTTGTTTTTATTAGTTACGTTGTTCATTTAATTTCATTTTCGTATTTTGCTTTGATAAAGTCCACATTGGACGAAACGCGTCAGCAATTACCAGTTTTCCTATTGTCATTTTTATTCATAAATATATATATATATATATATATATATATATATATATATCTGGTGTATACTACACCTAAACCCTATAGTGGGAGCCTGAGCAGTGCTTTGACTCGTGTATCTTATCAACATTTACTTTTTTTCTACCTATATTTATATACATTACAAACTAAACTCAGCACGACCAACTATTAAAAGATGAAAAGTTTTGCAGATTTTGACAACATACTGTTTTTTTTTTTTGTTTTGTCCACATCCATGAATTTGTTTTACTCATACTAAGTTTTGAAAAAATACGACATAAAATTCACTATTTTTTTTATCCATAATGTTGAATGTATTAAAATCATTCAACATTTTAACAAGAAAAATCACAAGTGGATGTTAAAAATTGCTGCAAAACATTGATTTATTTAAGATGGAATGATCTATTATGACAGGTCTCTAATTTGTATTTAGATAGATTGTATTTATTTTCAATTTTTCTAGTTGAATTGTTCACCTATATTGCATATAATCCATTATTGTACAGGTTACAATAAAATTTGTATTTTATATGAATACTACCTTATGAAAATTGAGATGTAATAGAGTAGGGCCCCCCCCATATCATAGATTTGGGGGTAATGGCACAAGACCCTTGCACCAGCCGTGGTACATGGGCAAAAATCTTGTTACTATAATAACCAATTGGACACAATAGTAAAGAATTACTTCTTCTATGTGCCATGTCCCTTCAGACATTTTCCAACAACTTCTTGTCCTTTGTAGCCCTTAGTAAAGTTTATCTTTTTGTTATATCTCTTAATCCTTGTTCTGTCAACCATTTACACAAGGTCATTAGGTAGCGCTACTTTCCTCTGTCTCTCCTACCTTTATTATATCTTGTGAGTGTCACATTTTCCAAGCCCTCTTTCCTCATTGTGCCCTAGAAATTTCAGTTTCTTCTTTCTGATACTTCTGTGTTGGCTATCAACACTGTGCCATCTGCATATCTAATATTTTTTTAACTCCTTTATTTACTTTTTCCGTAAATTCAGATTGTTTTTTATGCATAATTGTATAATGACTAGATTGAATTAGTAATTTTCTATACAACTGTATGTATGTTTAGGTTTTTTTTTTTTTTTTATTTAATAAAATTATATAAAAAATATATTAAAAACATATTAGTTACATGTATTTTATATATTTTGCCTTTTCTTTTATATAAGGATGTGTGTGTGTGTGTATATATATATATATATATGTGTGTGTGTGTATATGGCTCCTTTTTCTTTCCTCCACTCCTCTCTCCAATAATGTAAATCCCCAGGAATTTTCTTCTACATCAAGTAATTCAAAATTTTACTTCCTGTTCTCTTTGATTTAATTTTAAAATAATTTTTTAAAATATTGTCTGGATAAATTTAAACCATTTGTGTTTTCAGTCTGATGAGGTAGGTATTAAAAACTTATCTTTTGAAATAAATTTATTACCAAATTTTTCAATGATGTAAATCGTTTTTCATATATACACTATATTGAGCATGTTGATAGATACAAATATATTTTCTTTTGTAACCTTTTGCATTTTTATTTTAAATGTTGGAATATCCATGTGTATCCACACACACACATATATAATTGCATATGTTGATATGTCATGACATTTATGTGTACATTTGTATTATATTTATAATTACTAAGGTGTGCATATTTGTATTTGAATTATAATTACATTTTTGTAGTTAGAGGTATTTAAGTTGTGTGCATGTGTGTTTTTTTTTCATATATTTATATGTGCATATAGTATTTATTTTTATTTATTTTATTTTTTAAAGGCATCCCATAAATAATATGGACTGCACCACTATCATTATAGTCAAGTGTGTGTGTGTGTATATATATATATATATATATATATATATATATATAGTTTTAAGCTATGCTATATTTATGAATAAGTGTTCAATATCAGGGATAGACCATATGTAAATATAAAAGTGGACACTGAGGTCAGCACCAAGTGGCAGCAGTCTGTTTCATACTTCAATGCATCGCCTAAAAATGCATTAAAGCCTGAAACAGACTAATTGATATATGTACAATTATATAATTTAATGTATATCAAAGTGAACAGAATTTAGGCAATAAGATTACACAATAGATAACTACAACAATAACTGCAGTATTTATTATTATCAATAAATAACAAGTTAAGAGTAATTATCTACGGTCAACTAAAAGTTTCACAATATTCTTGTCTGACCCTGAGGAGCAATAACACTGAGACACTATATGTAGGCAGAATATCTTCATTCAAACATGTTTCATTGAATAATATAGACATGTCTATTTATTTATTTTCATAGCGATCCTTTTCAGTTCTCTAATCAGTTTCTTGATGTTAAGATATGACAACCACAACATTATCAAGATGTCTTACACTTCATTTGTTGGATACAAGTTCTATTGCACAACGTTTAAAAACACATTCCTGTCCACCTTCACAATACAAGAAAATACTTGTTGACAATACCAATATACTACACCACAAAAATAATAAAGAAAACTTCAAATTCTCAAGGCCTTCTATATCAAAATCAATCAACCAACACTCAACAAAATTTATTGTGACTGTAGCAGTAATGTGTTGAAGTGCATATAATAAATATTTAATGCTATTTTGCATTTCTACTAATTTCTGGTCAGCTCCCTTATATTGGAACACTTGTTTTCAAAAAATTCCATAGCTATAAGAGATAAATTTAAAACTTTAAAATAATTATAACAGAGCGTGTTCACACATGTTTTTTAAAAATCACCATCATAACAAAATGCAGATTTTTATCACAATTACAATATGTTTGTCTTTGTAATTCTCCCCTGAGAATGATCTTGGAGGAGATCAAAAGTAACATATTTGAGATATATAATTCCAGAATAAATGATTTACTCTTTCAGATTGAAATGACAAAAAATATCCAGCTCTTATTTTGGAATTAGAAGATTAATCTATTCATAATTACTGTATCAAGATTTTTTTAACTGAGTAGTTATTATTATATGATAATATGAGTAAACAGATAATTACAATATAATGTACTTATATACATGAGTACAGACATTCAGTTTAAGGCTAGATTATTCAAGGGAAATTAAAGTGAATTAAAGCATTGGTTAAATATCTGCTCCCATGGTAGTTGTCAGTACTAAATAGTCACTCTAGTTCAGTAGAGTGAATAAAGGTTTTGGTTTGAAATTGCAAGAATGTTACTGTGTATGAAGACAGATTCTTGAAGAAGGTTGGACAATACCACAGCTTAAATGTGAATATAACAACCAAGATGAGCATGGTGGTCTGAATAATAGGAAAGCATATACTAAGTTTTAGACAGTATGGTTAGATATTGTTCCATTTCTTTCCACTTTCTGAATTTTGTGAACAACTTCAGTAGCTTTGAAACTTAGTTTAAAATAATGACTAAAAATTGCAAGAATCTCAATATTTGTATCTAAAACAAAAGGTACAGCTGATGTTGATAATGAGCCATTGACAGTCTTTAGATGTTTACATGAAATAAACTTTGGAATAAATATCTGTAACAAAATAACAAAAACAAAAAATGAAAATGCTTTTGATACACCCAAATAAAACTTCTATTTTTAATTTTTTTTAATTTTATTTAGGCAGCTGATTCGACAATGTTTCCCCAGTGCCATTCCTGGTTCTGTACACTGCTTTGAATTAATCTGCATTCATATTGGAATTGTACCAACCAATGTCATCTCTGTCCACATTCAACAGTTGTCAAGCCGCTTATGGGAAATGGCTGGAGATGGATTAGCCTCAATCAGTTTGCTCTAATGAAACCTCATTCGGCAGCATCTCCATTAAAACTCTCATCAGGAATTCTTTACTGGTTTCTCTTGTGCCAAACAGTGAAAAAAAAATCAATCCTTGTACTTCATTATTTATTTATTCTTCTTTTTCAACCTAAAGCCTAAACTAGCCAATTCATTCATTAATATGTTTTTTGAGATGATCTGTGTAAACTGTTTCTTCTGACTCTTCCGCTTATCATTTGTGGCAGTTTATTTCAGTTAATGATTATTACAGTAATCAGGAACACGTTTTGCTGGCTGGGAGAACAGATAGATTAAAATTCCAAAGACTGCTATTTTACTTGTATTTTTACTTTAATATAGATTCTTGTTATAATTTCATAACTTGATGAAATGAGCGTCTTTGAAATCCATTTTATTCAGATATCTATTAGTTTCCTTAGACAAATTTGATGGAGCGTTATCATGCATAAAAACCACCTTTTTGAAAGAGTTTGGTTTCTTCTTGAACTATGGCTCTGTGTGTGCCTTAAAAAAGAAACAATGTATATCTGAGCTGTCAACTTAACACCATCTGAAACTCACCATAGAGTCACCACTTTACCACTTATAATGCCAACCTAAAACATTACACCACATCTGCCTTTTTGATGTCTCAACATAGTTCGTTATTAACTTTTTTTATTGCCACAATGCCTAAAAATTTCATAGCTTGATATTTTTTATAACTTCTCTATTGATATGGGACACAAATCAATGAAATTTTCATCAACCTGCCTTTGTCAGACCTGCATCAAAGTTGTCCAGGATCTTTAGTGAACTTTTTAACAGTTTTGTGATACCTGCCAACCAGTTTTGCAATTTCCAGAATATTTTACCTTTTGTAATTTTTAAAGTTATTAAGCATCTATCTTTATCCGTCAAGTCAGCCTTACAATTTATTTTAAAGTATCAAACTCACAAAGTGATTATTAATTTGAGACTTTGAAATTTATACAAATTGTTACTATGTTTATATGTTTTAATCTTATTGGTGATACAATTCAATCAGGTCAACTAACATGCTACTTATCTAACAGCAGCTTCATAAGTGCCTATATTACTAAACAGGACAATAAAAAAGAAAATTTCACTCTGGCCAATATTCAGGAGATATTTGTAAATAAGAACACACACACACACAAAATATGAACTGCAAAAAAGATTACAAATATTTGAAATTACTATAAACAAAACAAAATAAAAATACAATAACCAAAGTATTATTCAACATATAAAGTGATATTTTAAATATTTTTAAAAGAATAAAACATAGCACCTTCATGAAACTATTTGAATGTCTAACAATAAATTCAAACTTAAAATATAAATTAGTCAGAGCACTTGATATAATAAAAGATTCAAATATAACATTAAAACACATAACATAATTCAGACTATCAAACATGATGAAGAAAGCAAAAACTTACACTGATTTAAAACAATCTTATTTGGTGTAGATGGGCAAGATAGTGGTAATATAATTGATGATGCAATTTTTTTAATGCTGTATTATTTTTTATCCTTCACTCCAGTTTTTTGCCAACTGACAACAGTAAGATGCAGTGTAAGTTTACAATCTCTGTTCAAGATCTTTTCTAAAAAAAACAATTTGAAAAAGATATTCATTGACAAATTTTAATAAAACATTAAAAAAACTCTGTAAATTGTGCCAATATTTTCCTTTATTTTTTTCCAGTTTGGCTAAAAGTGAAGAAATCATATGAACATTTTACTTTTCTCTTCATCTGGAAATAATTATTCCACATGTGTATATTATGAAAATTGTTAAATTATTTTCAGATACTATGATACCAAATTCTTAAATATATATATAATGTGTGTGTATGTGTTTTACTTTTTTTTTTTTTTTTTTTTTTTTTTTTTTAATTAAATATTCACCCAATACAAGGCTCAAAAGGTGGAAGGTTGCTAAATGAGATTGTTATATAGATGTAAGAGGAGGAAGTACAGATTTATATGAAGGACTGATAATGGTTGACTCTAGATTTGAAAAGGTTAAGAATGTAGCGGTCGGGGGAAGCATTGTCTCTGGAGCCTGTTGCACAAAGTAGTGGCTCGTGGGAAGAAGCTGTCTAAATGGCATTTTCTTCTCACCAATGGAATATGAAAAGAATGGGGATAGTTCACTCTCTGTGTACATTGCTTATCATATATCTCATGGAACTCTGTCATAAGTCTTTGACTTATGACAGAGTTCCATTCCTATAATGCATTGTAATGCAATGTTCTGTTAATAAGCACTTACATCATTCACCTATGCTACTACAATAGTAAGGTAATAATCTAGGACTAACACATTTTCATGACAAATGTTAACAATTAGAACTAAAAAACACATGAATGACATAATGCATATAATGAAATAAGTGTTTTAAGCTGCCTGTATATTTATTGCCAGTGATTGGCTCTCGGTAGATGAGATGAAGTGTAAGATCTTGTCTCACTTGCAGTACTCAGAAGCAGCAGCAAATCTGGGGAAGAAATAAAAACAAATGTAAGTTTGTTTGAGGAAAATGGCATAAGTTGAAACAATATTAATGGTGGTGTATTGTAAGTTGGGACTGTCATAACCTGGGGACTTATTATGATAAAAATTGAAGGTTGATGGATGGATTCATAAATTTCCCAAAGGTATTTGTGCATAACAAACCTGACAGGAATTCGAACTAAGTTCTGATTTCTCATTCTGAGCCACTATCCATTATGCCACCTGCACATCCATGAAATACTAAAGAAACAAAGGACAAAATTTGCAGTATATTTAACAATCCCATAATCAGATAATTTTGTTTTAACCCTATATGTGTACATTATGAATTACAGTAGCTGAAATGTTACTGGAATGCAGACCACACAAAGGATAGTATGGACAGCCAAAATTGCAGTTTTTATAATTTAGAAATTACAGTATTTAAGAAAATAAATCACATATATTTTTCATTTTGATTTATTTTAATGGAACACCAAATAAGAATACTACTTACTGCATAAATTTATCTAAAATAATTTTAATATTATCAACAAACTTTGAGTTAGTAAGGTACTAAGCTATTATTTTAAAAATTGTAGCAAATATTTGATATTCTTGGTGGCTGAGAAAATAGTGTGGGAATATTCTTTCTAGTAGCACCAGCCATCACACCACAAAAGCAATATGGCAGCTCATTAAGTTTCAAAATTTCAAAAGTTTTTGCTTTTAGAGGTGAAATTTCAGCCAAAAAAAGATTTAGAGGTGTTAACAGAATTGCTTTATCTCTTTTTACTGTTAACAGTAGTTTAAATGTACAAGTAATTTTTCAAATTCCACGTCATCAATTTTGAAAATTAGTTTTTTTCCTATTACTTCAACCTTAAAATGACTAATGGTCCTCCAGGTAAGAGAAAAAGGAAATGGAACGAAGAAGAGTGAGTGTTTCAAGAAAGGTGGCAATTACAGTATTTTTGCACAATGGTGAATGAAAAGATACATTGTTTAATTTGCAACAACTCCATCACCACACCAAAAGAGTACAAGTTGAAAAGACATTATGAAATGCACCATCTATATTACAATATATATATATATATATGAAGGCCCAGTGCACATTTCAAAACTCAAGGAATTAAAGGCTAACTTGACACAGCAACAGACCTTTTTTATGAAAATTCAGAAAAAGAATATTGCTTCCGTCACTGCAAGCTATGAACTCAGCCATGATGGCCATGAGTTGGAAATCTTACAGCGAAGGAGATTTTGTAAAGCAATGCCTTGTAAAAACAGCTGAAATTGTATGTCTTGAGAAAGAATACTTATTGAAAGACATTTCAAACACTGTTATTGAATGGATTGATGAAATGTCAGGGGATTTGAAACAACAGGTTTGTATCATCAGGGTTTGAACATTTTTCTATTGCTGTTGATATCACTGGAATAGCACAGCTTGCAATCTTCAGGGCCTGTGACAGTGAATTTAATATTTCTCAAGAACTGATTGAACTAGTCCCCATGCATGACACTACAACAAGCCAGGACATTGTTGAATGTTGAGAAGGTTCTGCACAAGTATAGTTTTGATTTGAGTAAACTTGCATGTTTATTTACTGATGGTGCTGCAAATATAGTTGGTAAACATAATGGTGTGGCTGCCAAGTTACAAAGAAAACTCACATCCAAATTCATCATTTGCACATTTTCACATTATTCATCAGCAAAATTAATTTGTGTTGAAAGATTTTAAAATTGGATCATGTACTTTGCTTGGTAACAAAGACAGTGAACCGATGTTGTGCTCTCAACCAGTCAGTTCAGTCAATTGTCAGAAGATATGGATAATCAGTTTACTGATATTCCATTCTACACAGAATGCCATGTCAAAAAGTGCCGAAAAGATTCTATTTGTTGAGACAAGAAATAATGGTGTTTTGATGAAAGATCAAAACACAGATGAAATAAATATGAATGTTAGCTCTAAGATCTGGCTTTTGTTGTGGATATTACTGCACAATTAACTGATCTTAATTTGAAAGTACAAGGTAAAAAACAAACTTATCACTCAGTTGTATGATGACATCAAGTGGTTCATTATAAAACTGAGCTTATTGAAGTCACAGTTGTGAAATGAAAATTTAGTTCATTTTCCTACTTGTAAAGAGCTGAAATACTGAGCTTTGCTAAGAATGATAGTCACCTGGAATTGTTGTCAAAGGAATTTCAGAAAAGATTTAGTGTTTTCTCATCTTTTAAACATCAGTTTGCATTATTCTCAGCACCATTCACTTTTGATGTTGCTAAAACAGAAGAAAGCCTGCAGATGGAACTATTAGAAATAAGGTTGGATTCTACACTCAGAGCAAAATATCTTGAAGTAGGAATACCTGGGTTCTTTTCATCCAATCCTGAAAAGTTTGAAAACTTCAGAAAGTTTGCCACAAAGAATATGTTAGGCACCTCCACTGAATTTTTGATACCCAAGATTTAAA